TTTGTGTCAAATCATGGTCAGATTTAAGTGTGGAAAATGGTTTTTGTTCGTGGCAAATAATTAAAAGTACTTGACATGTTTGAAATGTGTCAATAAAAATTATCAACCTTAAAAATGGCAATAAAAAGTTTGAGGTCGGCAATTTGGCCGAAATAATTCCAGGTCGGTTAGGTTACCGTAAACACACCATTTTTTTTGTTTGGCCTAAGAAACCCAGAACTCACAAAACGGGACAATCTGGGCAGAGGTAGCTTTCGAGATATTGGCAACTTAATTGATGCAACACCCTTCTTGCCATCCTTGCCTGTATGCCATAGTAGGCCATCAGCCTGGAAGTTTGGTCGGTATCAAATGAGGGGAATAATGCTCGTTATGATTTGTGGCACTGGTATGCGCCCCTGTAGTTTGATTCTGGAAAATACGTGATAACCTAGGGCAAGTTCGCGCAAGAACTATTGTTGACCAATGGTTAACCGTAGTTAGACTAAAGTTAGCCCGAACTCTGTCTAGTCGACGATGGTTGACTACGCTAGTCGACTACATTTCGTATTTGGAACCAGCCTACTGCGGCTGATCGCGCAATGCTTTTTTGAGCAGTGTTGTAGTCGAAGCCACAACTGCGAGGCCGAGGCCGCGGCCACAAACTCCAAGGAGCATTCTAATTTCCCTCGGCTTCGCCTCGGGGAAACAAATAATAGAATGCTTCATGGATCACCTCGGGAGTCTAGTTTTACTACACAACTCGAAGCAGTCAATATTTGTATGCTATAGCATAGTGCAGAGGGGACCATCTATCAACAAAAATGGCGGAAAACGAAACTGTGAGCGCTAAATTACATTTTCATCGCACAGTTTTTCGATGTTAGTTTACGATTATGTCACTTTGTCACCTTTGTGCAATAATATTGGCGATTATCCTAAACTTTACACAATCACTCTTTTTGTGTAAATAAAGAGAAACAACAAATGTTGAATAATTCGTCACCGGTTTCACGAAGGGACTGGCATGTCAAAATTGACAATTTTTTTCGATTTCGAGTTTTTTCACTATTTTGCTTTAAAACATGGTACTTAATCACTCTGACATGTTTCCGTAAGCAAAACATCATCAATTCCTGAATAACATTAATGATGCCAGGGGCAGGCATCTCGATAATTGTATTTTGCGATTTCACGACTGAGAGACGCGAACATGCCTGCCCCTTGAACATGTACAAAACGTATTGCACGGAAAGGCGTAAAAGTAGGTCAACAGCGAATTCCGTTTTCACGAAGGGACGGGCATCTTTGTTGCATTCTCAGCTGCGCGCGCGTAATCACGCGCGCCCCTTCCCTATGGAAAAACACATTGAACAAAAAGGGCGTAGCGGCCTAAGTGTGGAAAAGTGAAATTTTTGATTTCACGAAAGGACGGGCATCCTTACTTATTAATTTCGGCTAATTAACCACTGTATTAATTATAATTACTGGGTTCAAATTAATTAAAGTTTACCTGTCAAAGAATTACGTCAAGGTTTCCTTATTGCATAAAGTTGTTGCAAAGAAGTAGTTTTTGCAGTTTAAAAAACGGAGAAACTTCTCTTGCGATTATCTCGAAAACGGTTTAAAATTTACTTCAAAATCCACATGCCCGTCCCTTCGTGAAACCGGTGACGAATTGTGCGACTGCCATTTTTTGACGGTCATTGACATGACAATAGGTCGACTAGAGTCGTTCGCACTTCCACTTCAGAACGCATGCGCTAGGTACGTCACGAACCAACCAACCAACCACTAGTCCTTGCTTGAACTTTCCCCGGGCTTAATTGAACGCTCAACTGCGGGCCGATCACGATCCTCACGTGGCGCCTTTATAGCCGTACACGGCCGTAGCCACTGACAAAACGCCAAAAAGTTTGAGATTTACTGCTTTTTAGTCAACTGCAAAACTCAAAAAATAGTTGGGCTGAAATATTAGCCTCAAAAATCCAATGAACTCAATAAATGATTACCTTTAGACTTCAAATAAAGTCAACTTTTAAATGCATGTCCACTTGAGATTTCCGCTGTCCGGCCGCCATATTTGTCCGTTTCTAGGGAACGGACAACGCATGCGTGACGTACTTCCACCAGTGACTCTGCTCCACGAGCAGGGTCTGTGGTGGCTGACCCAGGTGAGCCCCAGGAATAACGTCAGAGCTAATCGAACGCGTATAACGGCACGGGCTGACCCGCGTCGACCCGGGTGAGCTAAACGAACGCACCATGTACTGACATGATGAGTAGTACAGCACTGAGTTACTTCCGGGCATAACTACCAACATGACCGACCGGCTCTCATGTCTCCCCATGCTGTCCTAAGCCGCCGAATCTCAACGCCAAATTGCGGAGTGGCCGGCTGTCATCCTGTTTAAATGTAAGAAGTTCGCATTGTACTTTTTTTGTTGAATAGAAATGCGGTCACATACAACGATTGAACGAACGAAGTCCAGAAAGTAGGTCGCTTTTTGTTATGTGCACATGCATCGCGGGGAATCCAACGTTCCTCCTGTATACATGTGCACTGTTCGGATGTCTGGTTTGTAAATCATCGTTGTGACCTCTATTAATTCAAAATTGTTCATGAAGAAAAATATTGTATAGGCTACAATCCGTCCATACACATATTTAGTTTACCCCCAAAAGGGTACGCGTAACTGTCGCTGCCTGTCCAGCTGTTTTGTTGGTCGGTTGATTTGAAGATAGACAGAACGCGTCTCCGCTTTTTTCTTCAAAATTAATTATAGAGACGACAAATTTTGCTGATTTATTTATTCAATTCCTTGAATGTAGAGTCATTTAAGAGCCTTTAATGTACAGACACGTAAAACATGTATTACCGTCCCGCCTGCAGGCTACTACGTACATAATGTGATGGATGGTTTCCAAGGCCTCTTCCTAATCCTATTGTATTCTGCACGGTATAGGGCCCTACATTACAATTCCCAGGGTGTATTGTTGTTGGTCATTGCTCGGTATACCTAGATCGGTGTAACAAAGGTTGAGATCATTTCACTTGATTGTAAAAAAAAAAGTATACATGTACAGTGACCCTGTTGAGCAGTCTTCCATTACACATTGTGGAGTACGCCATTTTTTTTTCATTTCTGTATGATCAGAATGCATTTTTCGCAAGTATAAGGCCGGTTTAGGGTCAGCACAAAATAAACAATTACAAAAATGAGCCTACAACTTGTGCAGTTCACCGAATCATACAAGACACAGTCGATATTAAGTGCATTTTCAATTAACCACCGCATAAATTATGTTGGATATGCTTTCAATATACCATCTGTCACATGCGTGCAACACAACAATAGACCACAATCATAACAGTGTTTGAATTTGCAAGAACTGACCCAACCTCGACTCCATGGGCGCGTGCGCGTTCCTAAGATCGCGCCAGGCATGATGGGAACCAACATAATATGGCGCAGCAAGATCGTATCCATGGAAACGAAGTCGGAACTGACCCGGAATCTATAAATCACATAGCCAGTATCAACGTATAATGTTTATCTGTTTTACTGTGGTCTTGGACGAGGACTCGAGCCTGCATTTAACCTCATCACAATATCACCATGTCTAAAGGTAGGCTACCAAAAGTTTCACTACCTTTTCCAATTTGCGACTTTTCAACTCACACACGACATATGGCATTAATTACTTGTCCTTTCATTTAATTTCCTCCCGGAAATGATGGATCAGAGGCCTGTGACGGGACTTTTTTGAGAAAACTGTAGAATTAGAATTCTGAGGGAAAGTGCACGTGATCAACCGTGCGGCGTGCGGACTGAAAGAAAATCCCAAACTGTCCGGCGGAAATCGAAACCAGTTCATAAGGAAGCATTGTGCTATTAACATGCTCGATTAGTTTGCAATTGCATATGTTTATTTTGGCGGTTTGCTTGTTGAGGTTATGGCAGTTATAATATATAAATGCCACGATGGTTCAATTTTGTTTAACGCCCAATTTCTGAGGTAGTGGCGTTCCTACTTTTGCTGGTATCCAGACTGATCTCAACATATGACCTCTATGATCTCAAAGTGTCTCTTGTGGATTAGACTGGTTAATACCTACTTCACTCACCGACTATCACTTGTGAATTAGACTGGTTATCACTCACTGACTGTCACACCTGGCACCGCGTGATTCATGCACTTTCACGACACGTGTAGGCAATTAGTGAAGTCTCCATGATGAGCGAAAGTGGATTGTTCATGTCAATCTCATGACCACTGAAGCTTATATTTTACGAACTTTTTAGCCGCCCTAACTCATTTAAATAAAAAATTGTGCACACTGTGGGACCAGCTTTACTGTTTGCCCAGTCTTGTTTGTAGGTCTTGCTCTTTTGCCATCACCGCAAAATAACCATGGTGTTAATTGGGACATGCTGCTGTTATTTAGACAACAATGTCCCAGAAAAGACTGTGCATGATTATCTCTCAACGGTTAAAATGCAAAAGCATTAGAATTTATTGTCGAATGGTCTTCAGCGCGCTATGGGTGTGATTCCGTTTAACACAGCGAGTCCACGGGTTTTTGCACGGGTTTAGGCAGGATAGAAAATCGCGCCCATGTATACGTTATATCGATTTCAGATGTGACGTCATCGGGCTTTTATTTCTCATAATGTGATTACGAAAACGTGATGAGGGAACGGTCTTTAAAAACTCTGAATATTTTAGTGTTTTATTGAGGCTTTTTGTTTGTTTTTGAAATTGCTTTGTTCCTTGCTCTATTATGTGGAGACAAAGCTTGTTACCCATTCGCCAAAGGAGCCCATCGTACCTATACCTTGTCAAACCCTCATTGGTATGATGCACCGGTGTACTGCGAGGCCAAAGACGACTTGATTTCGAGTGTACATCAGTATAAATCCAGTTATAAACGACATGTCCTTGATCAGTATTGCTGGTAGACCTGTATATAAGCCATGCATGGCCAGTTATTACGAACATGTTTTATTTACGTTGTTTATGATTATCACTTGAACTGCTTTTGCACGTACCTAGTTCTATTTGTCCTCATTGCACTTCCCCCTGTATTGCGTAAATGGAGCATCGTGGCTATATAATGTTTCGTAGCAATTTATCGTTATCGCAACAATTTTTCACACGGAAAACAGAATCGATTGGCAAACAAATTTATGAATATAAACAAACACTTGTCACGGGTGCAACAGGTGCGTATAGTTTTAAATTACTATTTATACCTTGAACATTGAACCCACGTTGATTTTGTTTGCGAAACCGTTTTCGCATACATGTTTTATGATAGATAGAGCCTAACTGAGTGAATTTTACCTACAGCGAAGCCGAGAGTCTTGTGGAGAAGTGTTATTCCTCTTGGTGAAGTAGACCAAGAAGCACTACTCCGAAAATGAGGGATTTCAGCAAGGTTCTGGGAGGTAGCCTGCAGGGCACCAGATCGCGCACTACATCGGCCAAATTGCTTGTTTTGATTCTTGCGTGGACGTTTGCTCCAGCCGCACGTTGTGGCGACGCGGAATCCCGTCCGCCGAACGTTGTACTTTTCATAATGGATGATGTCGGGATGGGAGACATTGGATGCTTTGGTAACGACACGATCAAGACGCCTAACCTCGACAACTTGGCCCAGGAAGGAGCCAAACTGACACAGCACATGGCCCTGCCGTTATGCACGCCCAGTCGAGCTGCGCTGATAACTGGTCGGCTGCCAGTCCGATATGGTAAGTCGTTGCTCGTATAAAAGGAATGTCACTGATTGCAGCACAAATACGTTTCTTATTACCATTCAAAAGTCTTTTGGGAACAAAAGGCCGAAGTTGTTAAAATAAATAAAGTTAGCTTGGTTCCACGCGGTAACTTTCAAAGGCATAGAAAATAGCGCTGTATACACCACGAGATATTACTGTATGGCTTAGGCCTAATACATCTTAAAATGTGTGTGCTAAATGCTATATAAGCCATTTCACACTATCAAAAATTCCCGTATTGGACCCGGGTCGAAAACGGAGATTTTAGCAATCCCTTTCACACTAGCAAGAATCCGACACGGCTCCTACACAGGGTACAGTGCTCTACCCGGGTAAAATCCTACCCTGGTCGGGACCAGTGTAGACTGAGGCTCTACCTGGGTAGACAATCGAAATTTGTAGCTTACCCGTGTAAAGATTGGTAGTGTGAACGATCTCCGTGTTGCGCTTGACACGGTTTGCTCCTCCCCATTACTAGGGAGACAAGCAACAGTTGTACGCGGGACAAAGGCGAAATCTGCACACGTGCCAGTGATCAATTTAACATGCACAGTGTCGCGACCAAATTCGGTATTTCATTGTAGCATGGAGCTATTTAATAGCTCCATGATTGTAGCAACCGTGACAGTTGTAGCCCAAAAATCGAGCTACGCCGGACCTCGACAGAAGAATGGTTCTAAGTCCCTCAATATTCTTTGTCAGGAACCAGTCTTACCGCGGTTCCATTCACTCGTACCCGTGTTGGCTATGCGTAGTGTGAACGTTTCACGTGTTGCACACGAGTAAAACGGCCCGTTATACACGGCCAACGTTAGTGTGGACTCGCTAAAGGTAGTGAGGACGTTATGTCTTTCCAACCCGTGTTCGATCTTACCCGGGTACGCTATCGGCCTATTAGAAGTGTAGATATCTACACGGGTATACATGGTAGTGTGAACATGCCCATAGACACAGAACAAAAGGCTGATATGTTTCTTAAGACCTTCCGATGTTATCATTAAATGAATTCGTTCATGATAACGAAACAAATTCTTCGTCAAAACAAAATGTCACTGAGGTAGAAATATAAGCGAAAAAGGTACCACTGCATGCACAAAACTGATTTATGACTCATTAATGATATTTGATTAATGAATACATAGATTGGTTGCGGTACCCGCTGCTATATCAGATTCAAACCAGCCAGCCGACCCCGGCAAGCTCGGTGGTCGAGTGGTAAGACGTCTGCAGTAGTAAGCAGGAGGTCCGATGGGTGGGTTCGAGTCCCACCCGAGTGTTTTTTTCTCACAATCACTCGGGACAACACTGAGTATACAGTGTCTGGCAAACCTAATATTGAATTAATGATATTGCGTTTCCTCGTATAGGTCTAACTGATTAGGAGTCTCGATACTGCTATCGAATTGATAAGAGTCTGGATTGTAGGTGCACTTACCGACGACAGTCCGACTTTAATCAATAGTCTACCTTTGTAATCAAACAAAACCAAAGAGTTACATGAAATTACTACAGCTCAGAACAAAACCTTAGTTATAAACTGTAACGGCATTAGATAGTTGGTGAACCGTTGCAGAAGGCCTTGGGCCTGGTTTCTGCCGTAGGCCTTAACTTAAGTTTCTTCCTCAACAAAAATGTAGAATCTTTGAACTATGTCTTTTTACAGCCCCCCCCCCCCCCCAAAGGGGCATTGAAAGAATTACATGGATTTATCAAAGTTCGCTTACCAAGTTTGGTCGTCTTATAGGTATGGGGGCCGAAGGAAGGATGAGGGTGTTTATTTACATATCGGCGCGTGGTGGTGTACCTTCTAACGAAACCACGGTTGCCGAATTATTGAAAGACGCTGGATACGCTACGGCCATGATAGGTAGGTGTGTTAGGCAGTGGTGTAAGGGTGGGAGGGGGAGCATTTGGATCCCCACTCAAGGCCTGTAGCCCTACCCCTTGTGTCCCCACTCAAAATTTAGAGAAAGGCAAAGGTAAGCTTTTTGTTGTTAAAACCCATTGAAGCCCCCTTTAAGAAAACGAGGCCTAATAGTGGTCTGCAAATTGGACTCCAGTTTACTGGCACTAAATAAACGCATTGATTTTCACGTGACTTTGTTTTAATAAAGAAGTGATACGATTTTGGACCCAGGTGATAAAAATACAACTTTTAACAGTTTCATTTAATGGAAACCAGATCGGTCAATCTTGATAAGAGGGATATTGGTGCGTCCACTTGGGTTAACTACGAAGAATTCTGGCTGTGCTGTTTTGGGAAAAGCCTTATTGCAAGTTTACCCCCATTTCACACAAAATCCTTCTTTTTTTGTGTGAATATAGTTCTTGATGTCGTTTCCTCAATACTTTCCCTTTCCAACAGGCAAGTGGCACTTGGGCATTTCATGCACCGATGAGAATTCCTGCTCCGATCCTAATTCGCAAGGATTTGACTATTTCTACGGCCTTCCCATGACTAACCTACGGGACTGCGGAACGGAGAGCACCGTCTCCTATGCCTGGGCCAAGCCGCGAAGGGTATACGCCAAGATGGCGTACTCGGTACTTGGCGCACTGGCAGCCGCCATGCTCCTCAAGTGGATGGAATTAATTGGCTACAGGAGCGTTGTGCTGTTCCTGTTTGTAGCCCTCGCTGCCAACGGTTCACTCTTGATGCTCTGGAAGGCAATCAGGATCAACTGCGTCCTGATGGAGAACCGTGAGATCGTGGAGCAGCCACTCCAGTACGATCACCTGACCGAGCGCCTGCACAGCCGCGCCGTCCAATTCATGGAGAGCCACCAGCAGCAGCCCTTCCTGCTTGTCATGTCCTTCGTACAGGCTCACACGGCGCTTTACAACAACGACCTGTTCCGCAACCACAGCGTGCACGGCAGCTACGGGGACAACCTGGAGGAGATGGATTGGAGCGTCGGGGAGGTTCTGTCGTCACTCAAGAAGCTGGGCCTGGAGAGAAACACCTTTGTGTATCTGACGTCAGATAATGGAGGTCACGTGGAGGAGTTCACAGACGATGGCGAACGAGAAGGCGGCTGGAACGGAATCTATAAAGGTATTACAAACTCGATATGTGAATCAGGTGTCCCTATACAATCCAGCTTTTTAATATATCGCCGATCTTAATAACACCTTTAAAAGGTAGCTTGATTAGTTTGTTCAAACTCAACAATAAGGGCACAGCGAGTTTGATTCCAGCAGGTTGTCTGCCCACTCAGAAGCGATATATAGTCATCATTGCACTTTATTCGCTTTCCAAAGCCAGAAAAACTGAACACAAGTGGTTTCATCATAATATCGAGACAACCATATAGCAGTCGTTATATATACGGCAATGAGAGTGATCACTGAGTAAAATCTTGAAGAGTAAGCATATGACTTTGAAAATGGAACCCGTGACTTTGGGAATTTCTTATATAGGAGGCAAAGGTAACACATGGGAGGGTGGCATCCGAGTTCCTGCCATCGTCAAACTGCCTGGCGTCATCCCGCCAGGCACCGTGGTGTCTCAACCCACCCACCTACCGGACGTCTTACCAACAGTGGCCCGAGTCACCGGAGTCAAGCTGCCCACTGACAGGATCTACGATGGTCGGGACCTCATGCCATTACTGACTAACGACAGTAGCGAGATGACACATGAGTTTATGTTCCATTACTGTGGAGTCTTCATCAACGCGGTGCGGTACACGCCAGAAGGGGGTAAGTAATTGCATGATGGAGGAATTTTACTATAATTTTATAATGAATGAAAGAGTACAATGCATTCATCTTATTCTACCGTAGAACTGACCCCCAAGTTGGGATAGAAATACGTCATCACAGTATAAATGTTTCGTTGCAATAATAGGCCTACTTCTCATCGTGTACCACAGCTCGGAATTGATCAATTCACTGTGTTTTATTGACAGGTATTGTTTATGCCTCTTACGCAGGTGACACCACGTACAAGGTTCACTACACAACCAGTCGTCTCATTCCGGGGCCCCATGGCGTGCTGGGCTGCTTCCAAACCTACACGTGTGATTGCACGGGCTGGAGCACGGACCAGCACGACCCGCCCCTAGTGTACGACCTAACCAGGGACCCCTCGGAGGCTAGCCCGCTGGACAGCAAGGACCCAATAGTCGTAGAGGTCATCGGCAAGGTGGAGGAGGCGGTGTCCAGACACCGTCTGACGATTCCCGACCAGCAGTCGCATCAGTTCAGCGTTCTGCAGACGTTCCCCCGTCCCTGGGATCGCCCGCGCTGTGGGAGCTTTCCCTTCTACACCTGCACCGATCCGTATCTGAATCATTTTAAAGCTGACAAAAAAAAGACTCCAAGATAGTATATATTTTGGATTCCATCTATTCTAGTAGCGTATCCGTATTTTCAGTCTGGGAAGGCACAACTTCTGAAAAACAAACCCCCACTTTTTGTCTTTCGTAAAAAAAATACACCTCTTAAAACAGGGGAAGTATTTCTTTTATTTCCTTAAAAGAAATGAAAAAAGAGGACCAAATGCCCCTCTGGATACGCTAAGCTAATGTCGCATCGTCCTGGGTCAAAATTACATGGTTTTAACTGTGTAGTTAATTTCAATCATAGTAAAGTATCGGTATTTTCACTGAACATAGACAAATTAAGTAAAACTTAATGCATTTTATGGCTGACTGGTCTCGCTGTTAGCACAGCGTAGCCCGTTAAGAAGGTCGAGCTGTGCAACGTGGCAGACAGTGCAAGATTATGGTTAGGCCTCCTCTACAGTGCTTCCCTGCTAAATTAACTGGTAATCACCCTGAATGTCACTTAACGTTATGTACGCTTAATGTTCGTTCACTGAAAAATAAGTCTGCTGATTTTGTGGATTATGTTTGCACCAGTGGAGCTGACATCTTTGCACTGACTGAAACCTGGTTATTAAGGACATCGATTCTGCTCTTAGATCTGAAGTAACTCCGTCGGGTTTCAAGCTCGCAGATCACACACGTGAGAGAAGGAGGGGTGGTGGTACTGCTCTCCTTCTATGGGAATCGTTGGAGGTTAAAAAGATTGCCGCCGCAGAACAGACGCCCTTTGAATTCTCGGAATGGCTTGTGGGATCTGGATCTCAGCAGCTACGCGTTGTTGTCATTTACAGACCACCCTATTCAACTATATAACCATCCAGTTACAATGACTACATTTCTACAGGAATTTTCCGATTACCTGGAATCAGTTCTGCTGACTAGCGCACCACTGATAATTACTGGGGACTTTAACATTCATGTGGATGATGCTGACAACTATGAAGCAATACGGTTTTCTGAGCTACTGGAATCATTGAACCTTACACAGCATATTGATCAATCAACTCATGTTCTAGGACATACATTGGATTTGATCATTACCCGTAAATCAGAGACAATAATTGAACATACGCCTGTTGTTGATTATTTATTCTCAGATCATTATTCCATTTTGTGTAAACTTATTTTAAACAAACCTGATTTATCTGTAAAGGAGGTATCTTATAGGAAGATTAGCTCTGTAGACATGGATATGTTTAAGAATGAAATCTCTGAATCTGATTTGTGTAATAATGACTCAAGCCAAGGTAAATCTGATGATCTTGACCATTTGGCCATTTCATATAATACCATCCTTAGTGACATTGTTGATCATCATGCTCCTGTTGTTAAAAAAAACGATTATTGCTCGGCCCTGTGTACCATGGTTTAATGAGGAAATCAGAATTGCTAAGAAAATGCGTAGAAAAGCTGAAAGGAGATGGAGAACAACTGGGCTTCAGCGTGATTTTGATTTGTTTAAGTTGAACAGAAATAAGGTCATTTTCTTGATGAACAATGCTCGTCAGGATTACTATTCCAACCTGATTAATGAAAATAGTGGTGATCAACGGAATTTTTTTCAGGTTAGCAGGTCTCTGCTCAATCTTAACAAAAGCTCTCTTGTGCCACCGCACACCGATGATTCGATTCTTGCGAATGAGATGGGTAATTTCTTTGTTCAAAAGATTTCCAATATCAGGTTGAGATTGAGTAATGAGACCTGCTCACCTCAGTTATCTTCCTCCACACCCTCATCACCTAGGTCTGGGGGAACATTGACCGATTTTGTGCAACTTTCTGAAGATGTAGTTCGTAAGCTCATCTTAGGTTCTAGTAAGAAGTGTTGTATCCTTGACCCTATTCCAATGAAGTTACTTATTAGTTCTTTAGATCTGTTATTGCCTGTTATAACCAGAATGATCAATTCCTCTTTATGTACTGGTCATTTCCCAGCAGCCTGGAAATCAGCAGTGGTTTTACCATTGCTTAAAAAGCCTAGTCTAGACTTAAAGATTGAAAATTTTAGGCCTGTATAGATACAACAACTCAGTGGAAGGAGTCACTCGTGTTGTCTAGTGGATACTTAGCCTTGACCAATGCTGTCAAGCCAAGCTTTTTCCCTGAACTGTCCGGCAGCCGTTGCTGTCAAGCCAAGCTTTCAGTTCCCTGAACTGTCCGGCAGCCGTTTAACCCTACTTGTCACGGCAACGTACGCCGCTAGCGGCCCCCTGGCTAGCTCCGCTTGCCTGTACTGTACTTGTCACGGCACACGTACGCCGAGCGCTTTGCCGGTACGTATACAGTACCTACGTACGTACGTACTACGTGCACCCCATGCAGTAACCAATACGCAGTCGCAGTCGAGGCGAATGTTACTGTATACTGTACATGTACATGTACATGTTCTGTACATGTACGTGTACGTACGTCCGTGTGCGGATTTGTGTTAGGAGCATATCGCGCGCGCAGTACAGGCAATTCGCAAGCGGAGCTAGCTAGCCAGGGGCCGGGGGCTGCGAGCGGCGTACGTTGCCGTGACAAGTAGGGTAAAACGGCTGCCGGACAGTTCAGGGAACTGAAAGCTTGGCTTGACAGCAACGGCTGCCGGACAGTTCAGGGAAAAAGCTTGGCTTGACAGCATTGGTCAAGGCTAGTGGATACTACGTGAACTGTCATTGCTTTTCTTTTCATTCATTATTTGTTTAATTTCGTTCCCTTAAATAGTTTTTTTACAGCAATTTAGGGCATTTTGTTTAGTAGTTTGGAAATGTGGTTTGGTGAATTTTGTTTCTCAAAGTAAAACAAGTATTCAATTGTACATAATAGTAGTATAGGAGGCTCGTCTCGCAACCCGTTTCTGAGGAGGGTTTGGTGTAAAGAGGGAGTTTGGGTGGAGGGAGAGAGTTTTGGTGGAGGCAGGAAGTTATGTTAGATGGGAGGGAGTAGTGGTGGAGGGAGGAGGGATGTTGTGGATGGGCTGGAAGGAATGGTCGTGGGTGGAGGAAGCGGTGGAGTGAGGGGGAGGGGAGGATGAGGGAATGTTCAACATGTTTGGACTTGTTGATGGTCATAATAATAGGTAAGTGACGTCCTCAATGTGACATCACGGACATTCGGGGAAATCTGATGAGAACAATGGAATAATTTCGGACGAGTTTAAAGTCGCCGCGGTTGTCGCGCTGTGATTATTTGACGCACAGGGTGAAACATTGTATTGGGCGGCATTTTCTTCGAAGACGAGGGATTTTTTTTTGGCTTTTCCGCAAAGTTGCGGAAAGCCTTTGTTTTTGTTCTGTTTTTTTTTGGCTTTTGCGAAGAAGCCTTTGTTTTTGTTCTGGTTATTTTTTTTTAGCTGTTCCCAATTTCAATTGGGAACAGCTCTTTTTTTTTTTTTCTTTTTTTTTAGCTGTTTCGGTGTACACGCCGAAACAGCTCTTGTTAGCTGTTTCGGTGTACACGCCGAAACAGCTCTTGTTAGCTGTTTCGGTGTACACACCGAAACAGCTCTTGTTTTTGTTATTTTTTTTAGCTGTTTCGGTGTACACGCCGAAACAGCTCTTGTTTCTGTTATTTTTTTTTGGCTTTTCCGCATAGTGCGGAAAAGCCTTTGTTTTTGTTCTCATTTTTTTTTTTTTTTTTTTTGGCTTTTCCGCAAAAAAGCGGAAAAGCCTTTCTTTTTGTTCTCATTTTTTTTCTTTCTTCTTCTTCTTCTTTTTGTCGCCTAAATCCCATAGACTTTGTACACGTTTTTTCTCAGTGCCACTTTTGACATTTATCTTTGTCACACATCATTCAAAGTTAGCATAGTCATAGTCCTTATAGCAGAGATGTGCCCCGAAGAGTGACGTCATGGTGACGTCATCGACTAATTTATTATAGATTTTTGAATATATTTAATTTTTCCCATAGACTTTGTACACAAAACTTTAAAAAAAATTGTCGATTGTCAAAGGGCATTTTCGACTCTTTGCCAGTAATTCATTTACACCACTATTTGTCCAAGCAAAGACCCTAACTCAAACAACATTGTGTAATGATGACGTCATGATGACGTCATCAGGTGTTTATTTATAGGCAATTAAATTGTGACACTTTTAATATTAAAAAATGCATAAGAAATCAACCGTACTCGTCCGCAGCATCCTTTTGCTGGCAAGTGGTAGAATAGGTTGGGGTCTTTATTTCATTCAGTGTGCGTGAAATCACGTGACCCTTGCTTCCGGTCGAAAAAGGCTAAAACCGGAAGTGGCTTATTATTTGAAAGTGGTAATAGATATGAACTTGCTTTTAACGGTGTTAGTGTTTTGGCCGATAGTATTCTTCAAATCATATACCAATGACGTCATGCAATCTTCGAGCGCCTTCTAGCGACAGGTTAAAAAAATTCAAAAATGTATTTTGAATAGATGTCTGTGGCGAAGTTTGTCAGAATCGCCTAAATATTGGTGTATATGATGACCTTGACCCACTTAAGACTTTTGCGAAGTTTTAGGCGTATGACGTCATCAGCCTGGAAGTTCTAATGAAAATACCCTTTTTCTTTTGAAAATTCCTGAAATATCAACCATGGCAGTTTTTATATTTGTTTTTACTTTAATTGTCGATTTACGGGTAGGTCTAAAACATTTCGAAGTTTTGAGGCAATAAGCGAACTCGGACATACCCTGCGCACGCTTAAAACTTCAGGTTGACAATACCTCTGCTTTAAAACATGCACAGGACGTCCACAATGTACATGTTCATGCACGTACGTTGTACATACGCACATACATCGTTTGTCAGTCAGCCTGCAGCGCACGTGTGGCTGAGGTCAAATCCTGTCCACAGTGACCGTTTTAGCCGATTTTCGGCTAACTTTGACAGATTTTATGTTCATTCATGCGCATAGTCAGGGATGTATTATTGATAAAAAAAAAAATCATAATGCGGAAAAGCCCTGTGTTCTGTTGCAAACAGACATAGATCTCTAGTTTTTCCTTCTTCTTTTTGTCGCCAAAACCCCATAGACTTTGTGCACGTTTTTTCTTGCCTCCACTTTTGGCATTAATCTTTGTCAGACATCATTCAAAGTTTGCATAAGCAAAGTCCCTATAGCAAAGATGTGTCCCGAAGATTGACGTCATGGTGACGTCATCGACTAATTTATTATAGATTTTTGAATATTAAATTTTTCCCATAGACTTTGTACACAGAAATTAAAAAAAATTGTCGCTTTTCAAAGGACATTTTCGACTCTTTGCCAGTAATTCATTTACACCACTCTTTGTCCAAGCAAAGACCCTAAATCAAACAACATTGTGGAATGATGACGTCATGATGACGTCATCCGGTGTTTATTTATAGTCAATTAAATTGTGACACTTTTAATATTAAAAAATGCATAAGAAATCAACCGTACGCGTCCGCAGCATTCTGTTGCCGGCAAGTGGTAGAATAGGTTGAGGTCTTTATTTCATTCAGTGTGCGTGAAATCACGTGACCCTTGCTTCCGGTCGAAAAAGGCCAAAACCGGAAGTGGCTTATCATTTGAAAGTGGTAATAGATATGAACATGCTTTCAACGGTGTTAGTCTCTTTTCCAATAGCATTGTTCAAATCATCTACCGATGACGTCATGCAATCTTCGAGCGCCCTCTAGCGACAGGTTGAAAATTTTCAAAAATGTGTTTTGAATAGATGTCTGTGGCGAAGTTTGTCGGAATCGCCTAAATATTGGTGTATATGATGACCTTGACCCCCTTAACACGTGTGAGAAGTTTTAGGCGTATGACGTCATCAGACCGGAAGTTATAATGAAAAGACCCTTTTTCCTTTGAAAATTCCTGAAAAATCAACCATGGCAGTTTTTCTATTTGTTTTTACTTTAATTGTCGATTTAAGGGTAGGTCTAAAACATTTGAAAGCTTCGAGGCAATAAGCGAACTCGAACATGGCCTGCGCATGCTTAAAACTTCAGGTTGACAATATACCTCTGCTTTAAAACATGCACAGGACGTCCACAATGACATGTACATGCACGTACGTTGTACATACGCACATACATCGTATGTCAGTCAGCCTGCAGCGCTAGCGCACATGTTTCTGAGGTCAAATCCTGACCACAGTGACCGTTTTAGCCGATTTTCGGCTAACTTTGACAAAACATGCACAAGACGTCCACAATGTACATGTACATGCACGTACGTTGTACATACGCACATACATCGTATGTCAGTCAGCCCGCAGGGCACATGTTGCTGAGGTCAAATCCTGACCACAGTGACCGTTTTAGCCGATTTTCGGCTAACTTTGACAGACTTTATGTTCATGAATAGTCAGAGACGTATTATTGATAAAAAAAATCATAATGCGGAAAAGCCCTATGTTCTGTTGCAAACAGACATAGATCTCTAGTTTCCCTTTTTTTTTTTCTCCACTTTTTTTCCCATAGGATAACACGTGTTTTCGTTCTACAAGTCACTTTCGGCTTTTTTTCAAGTCCGATCGACTTCAAACCTGGCACACACTTAGACCACCATCTGAAGATGTGTGCCGAAACTTTTCGTCATGCTGACGTCATCACGTGATTTATTATAGAATTTTGAATATTTAATTTTTCCCATAGACTTTGTACACAGAAATTTTAAAAAAAGTGTCAATTTTCAGAGGGCATTTTCGACACTTTGCCAGTAATTCATTTACACCAATCTTTGTCCAAGCAAAAACTCTAATTCAAACAACATTGTGTAATGATGACGTCATGATGACGTCATCCGGTGTTTATTTATAGGCAATTAAATTGTGACAATTTTAATATTTAAAAATGCATAAGAAATCAACCGTACGCGTCCGCAGCATTCTGTTGCCGGCAAGTGGTAGAGTAGGTTGAGGTCTTTATTTCATTCAGTGTGCGTGAAATCACGTGACCCTTGCTTCCGGTCGAAAAAGGCCCAAACCGGAAGTGGCTTATTATTTAAAAGTGGTAATAGATATGAAATTGCTTTTAACGGTGTTAGTCTCTTGGCTAATAGTATTCTTCAAATCATCTACCGATGACGTCATGCAATCTTCGAGCGCCCTCTAGCGACAGCTTGAAAATTTTCAAAAATGTATTTTGAATAGATGTCTGTGGCGAAGTTTGTCGGAATCGCCTAAATATTGGTGTATATGATCACCTTGACCCACTTAAGTCGTGTGCGAAGTTTAAGGTGTATGACGTCATCAGACCAGAAGTTATAATGAAAAGACCCTTTTTCCTTAAAAAATTCCTGAAAAATCAACCATGGCAGTTTTTATATTCGTTTTTACTTTAATTGTCTATTTAAGGGTAGGTCTAAAATATTTCAAAGCTTCAAGGCAATAAGCAAACTCGGACATGCCCTGCGCACGCTTAAAACTTCAGGTTGACAATAACTCTGCTTTAAAACATGCACAGTCCACAATGTACATGTACATGTACATGCACGTACGTTGTACATATCGTATGTCAGTCAGCCCGCGCGCAGCGCACGTGTTGCTGAGGTCAAATCCTGTCCACAGTGACCGTTTTAGCCGATTTCCGGCTAACTTTGACAGATTTTATGTTCATGCATACGCATGTACATGTTCATTCGACCTGGATGAAACTCCTATTACGGCAGTCATTAATAAAACGGTCGAAACAGCTCAGTGTTTGTCCACAAACGCATTTCTAGTTAGCTGTTTCGGTGTACACACCGAAACAGCTCTTGTTTTTGTTATTTTTTTTTTCTCTTTTTTTTTCTTCCACTTTTTTTCCCATAGGATAACACGTGTTTTCGTTCTACAACGCACTTTTGGACTTTTTTCAAATCCGATCGACTTCAAACCTGGCACACATTTAGACCACCATCTGAAGATGTATGCCGAAACTTTTCGTCATGCTGACGTCATCACGTGTCACGTGACGTCATCCTCAAAGAGCATACTTTAAGGCCCTATATCTACAGAACCGGAAGTCCGATTTGATTCAAACTTGGTATGCAAGTATTCCGGGACGTGTTATAGACGAAAATTGCAGTGACGTCATGATGACGTCATCATGTGATTTTATATGAATTATTCAATTTTTGGACCTTTTACTCATATCTCATAAACGGAATGTGGTAAAATCGAAATTCTTTTTGTAACAGGTTTGTTAGGTCATAGATAGATGCACAAAATTTCGTAAAATGTGTGACGTTATCATGACGTCATCAAAAACGTGATTTTTTGATTCACATATAAGGGTATGTCCGATTGTTATGAAACTTGGTGGGTAGGTAGGTATAGATAACAGCATTGAAAATCTGAAGTGACGTCATCATGACGTCATCATCTGATTTTTTATGAATTTTTCAAATTTTAATATTTTCTTCAAATTTTGCAAAAAATGTATAAAATACGGTCCGATCGACTTCAAACCTGGCACACACTTAGACCACCATCTGAAGATTCAGGTCGAATCATGACGGCATCATGACGTCATCACGTGTCACTTGACATCATCCTAAATCTGCATAGTTTAAGTCACTATATCTAGAGAACCTGAGGTCCGATTGGGTTCAATCTCGGTATGCAGATATTCCAGGAAGTGTTATAGACAAAAATTGCAGTGACGTCACGATGACGTCATCATGTGATTTTATATGAATTATTCAATTTTTTTACCTTTTACTCATATTTCACCAATTGTAGCGGCAGCACTAAATCAATTTCGAGGTGCAGTCTTTTAGGTGTTCGTAGTGCTACTACTAGGGGTTTCGCAGGGGGTCACAGGTCACATCTAGGTCACAGGTCACATCTAGGTCACAGGTCGGTAACTAAGGAGTAAACAAGGGTCTCTACAGAAGCCGTTGATTATAACATCTCGCATTTATTCCATGAAAATGATTCGCAAGTCTTCCATGAAATGGTTCGCAGTGGCTTGTGAAATAATCCGCAGTGGCTTCGTGAAAACTGTGAATGTATAAACAAAGTAAATGTCCTTAAGTTCACAGAGTATTACATGAATTATAAAAGCATCGTACATAAATCATCACTTAATCGAAATTCCTAAATTCAATGGTTAAACATATACGAAAATCACACTCAATTTTGAGCTACAGAATGTCAAAACTGATCGCAGAATTATCGATAAAATGAATCAAATATATGGTTTACACTTCTTTCTCAAGAATTATAAGAGTCTCTAAATTACCTCCTTGCATCCTTTCCCTCTTATTTCAGTTTCTTGGGTCTCAAAAGAGACAAAACCTCAAACGATTCTCAGAAAATATCGTCCAAAGATGTCTGACATGAAGGGATTTTACATGTGCTAATGTGTGTTTGTTCGTGGCTCAGTTGTGTTCTCCAAAGTCATCTGACAGAGGGCGCTATACACAAATGCAAACTTGTGAATACATTAACATGGCTCCCCAAATTAGTGTAACTAATTTACAATCAGAAGTTATAGTAATCTAGACTCGTCTTGATCAACATTGTGAACATGCACTGATTAGACTAAAATGCAAAAATTACATGGTAACTGCTCCTTTAAGTTGTCTGAGTACATTGTACAAACATACAATAAATCATCTTTGAAGCATCTCACTGGTAATCATTTACCTTCGAACAAGATAAACTATCAAACTTCTAAACTCAAGTACTTTAAACAACAATAAACTAACAGGTTATCTAAGAATACAACTACTAAACACAACATGTATGTTGAAGCTTCTCAGGGCTCCTCGTCGGGGATTCCCCTGGTCTCCAAGTCCTCCACAAGTAAGACTAGCTTCTGAATGGGACGCTCCAGGAACTTCTCAGAATGGACTCGCTTTCCCTTGTCGTCCAAGTGGGGGTCACCAATAGCGAGTTTGACCCTCCTTACATGATTGTCCTCGCCTGGGAACACCTGAGCAATCCGAGCAAGCAACCATTGATTGCGAGGAAGATTCTCGTCTTTGATGATGACAATGTCCCCAATGTGAAGGTCATCCTGTGGTCGTATCCACTTTTGACGCAGTTGGAGGTTTTGAATAAACTCCTTCCTCCATCGTGACCAAAACTCATTCGTTAAGTATTGAACTCGACGCCATCGTTTGCGGGAGTATATGTCAGTACGCTGAAACCTTCCAGGCGGTGGCAAGATGATAGTGGATTTCATCGTCAACAGGTGATTTGGGGTAAGTGGCGCAAGCGAAGTTGGGTCATTCAAGTTGTCCACTGTAAGAGGTCTACTGTTAACAATTGCAGCTGCTTCACACATCAGTGTTCTCAAAGACTCGTCATCAAGCTGAGAGCCTGCCTGATGCATCAGTGGCCCCAGAACTCTACGCACCGAACGTATCTGTCGTTCCCATGCTCCTCCTGTATGGCTGGCTGATGGAGCATTCATCTTGACTTCATAGTGGCTGTAATCGCATCCCTCCTTCAGGAGAAACTGCCTCGCAGAGCTATGGTCCATTTCAGCGACAGCTTCTTTGAGCTCGGACTCTGCCCCAATGAAGTTCGTGCCTCTATCAGATCTCAGCTGTCGTATGGGCCCACGAATGGAAATGAATCTCCGTACAGCGTTGATGAAGGAGTCTGAGCTGAGACTTGCTGCTGTTTCGATGTGAATGGCACGTGTTGCCATGCACGTGAAGAGAACTCCGTATCTCTTTAATTCCTTTCTTCCTTCTTTGATGTACCAAGGACCAAAGAAGTCCACGCCACAGTTGGTAAATGGTGGTGCCGGTTCGAGACGGTCCTCCGGCAAGTCCGCCATCTTCTGCTCTTGAACTTGGCCGAAGAGCTTCCTGCATCGTACGCATTTGGATATGTAGTAGGAAACAGCCGAGCTACAGCCAATAATCCAAAAGCCATTCATTCGGATTTGATTCACGGTCATGCCCCGACCCTGATGTTGGGTTTGCTGATGGCAATGTCGAATGATCAATTCGGTGATGTGGTGCTTTCTGGGCAAGACAGCTGGGTGTTTGAAGTTAGAAGGAAACCCAGCCCTTCTAATGCGGCCTCCAACTCGCAGAATGTTGTCAGCATCCAGAAATGGGTCCAATTTGTAGAGACAACTCTTAGTCTTCATGACTTTGTTACGCTCTCGAACCTTGGATCTGCTAGGGTTGTCGCTGTTGACCTTGAGAGATTCCAGGATTTTGATTTCCTCTGCAAAGGCTTCTTTCTGCACCAGTCTCAGGATTTCTAGTTCCGCTTGGCACATGTCCTCTACCATCACAGGTTTGTAGAGAGGAATCGCATCTTTTCGTAGAGCCTGGATCGAATTTGGCTGTGGTTTCTTTATGGAACGCTTCATCAGGAGAGACTTGAACTTCAGACAAGTCGCTATAGCTCTCTTGGCTTGATGCCATTCAGAGAAGCGCTCAAGACGTTCAAGCTCGAATGTCTGCTTCGCAGTCTGTGTAGCAAGGCTCTTGACCTTCTTCACCTCCGGATCCTCTGGAGAAATGGTTGGACTGCTGGCTTCGAGTGTGATAGGAACCTGCTCTTCCCACAGAAAGTTAGGTCCAACAAGCCACCTTGATTTGTTCATCAATTCCTCAACTCCAAGACCCCTTGATCCGTCATCTGCCGGATTAACATCTGTAGCAACATGTCGCCACTGGGAAGGCTTGGTGTGGTCTCTGATACGCTGTACCCGATTCGCAACAAAAACATGGAATCTCCGTGCATCATTGGCAATGTAGCCCAACACTACCCTACTGTCGGTCCAGAAGACCTCATAGACATTCTCATACTCGAGCTCCTTCTGTAACAGAGCACTGACACGGACTGACACCAACGCAGCTGTTAGCTCAAGGCGTGGCACAGAAACTGGCTTCAGAGGACAGACTCTGCATTTCCCCATGACGAGGCTGCAGTGCACTCTTCGCTGGTCATCGGTGAGTCTCAGGTATGAACATTGGGCATAGCCAGTGGTACTCGCATCAGAGAAATGATGAATCTCTACTGATTCAACACGACCAAAATTCTCCGGAAGAAAGCATCGTCGCATCTTGAAGTTCTCTAAAAGAGCCAAATCACTCCTCCACCGTTCCCAAGTTGGCCGTAAGGATTCAGGAAGTGGATCATCCCACTCTGCCTGATTTCTGCACAGCTCCTGTAATATCTGCTTACCAACCAACAGAACAGGACTCACAAATCCAAGAGGATCATATACCGAACTGATCGTGGAAAGGATTCCTCGTCTTGTGAGTGGTTGGTCCTTCAGAATGATTCGAAACTGGAATGTGTCCGACTCGATACACCAGTGGACGCCAAGTGCTCGCTCGATGGGGAGAGAGTCGTGACGCAAGTCAAGATCCTTGATTCCTTTGGCACGATCCTGTGGCGAAACTGCTTCCATCACTTCTCGTGAATTGGAGACAAACTTATGCAATCGCAAACCACCTCTGCCACAGAGATCCTTGGTCTTCGTTATCAACTCAATGGCTTCTTCGCTGGTGGAAACAGATCTCAGACCGTCGTCCACATAGAAGTCATTTCGCACAAAGTTCGCAGCTGCAGAACCACATTCTTCTTCATAGCTGTTCGCAATTTGTTTGAGACCAAAGTTCGCACACCCAGGGGATGATGCCGCACCAAACAGATGGACATTCATCTGGAACTCCTTTGGTTCAGCTTCAGGGTCTCCCTTTTCCCACCACAAGAATCGAAGGAACTTCCGGTGGTCTGGAATCACATAGAACTGGTAAAACATCTGCTCTATGTCGCACATAAAGGCGATCGGTTGTTGTCGAAATCTACATAGGACACCCACAAGTGTGTTGGTCAGGTCAGGACCCTGTAGGAGATAGTCATTCAAAGACTTTCCTTCAAACTTGGCACTGCAGTCAAAGACCACTCTGATTTTCTCAGGTTTTTTCGGATGGTAGACACCATGATGGGGTATGTACCATACACAATCATCAGAGACATCAAGCTCGGAATCAGGAACCTTCTGAGCATAGCCACTCTTGATGATGTTATTCATGAAGGCATTGTACTCGCTGTGATACTGTGGGTTCTTCTTGAACCGGCCCTTTAGCTGCTTGAGACGCTGAAGAGCTTGAATCTTGTTGTTTGGAAGTTTAGGTTCTGTTTCCTTGAAGGGTAACGGCATAACGAAGTGACTGTCGCATCTTTGATGAATACCCTCCTCCATCTTGGTCAAGAACTTACGGTCGTCTTGAGACAGTGCAATCTCGTCTGACTTTCGCTCGGAGAAGTCTAGTTCCATCATTTGTGCAACTTCATAGGGACTGACCATCTCCTTTACACGACTTCTGAAGGAGAATTGAATGTTGTCAACATTCTCTTCTGTACATCCTTTCGGGCTTTCACCAACTGTCAAAAACGATGGTACTTCATGGATCAGAATTCTGTGACTCACACCGATGGGATCACAGTCGTCGACTTCGCACTGGTTGGGGTCTACAATACCGACGATGCCCCAGCCAAGGTCGGTTCTTTGACCATATGGTCCATTGTTGACAGGAGGAACGACATCACGAGGTGCCAAGGCACGCGGACAATTATAGCCGATGAGAATGCCTACTTCGCAGTCAGTCGAAGGCATCAACAAATCAGCAAGCTTCTCCAAGTGTGGCCACTTCCTGGCCATCTCTGAGGTCGGGATATGAGAACGGTTGGCTGGCATTATTTCCCTTGAGTATGCAGCTGGTAGCGAAATCTTTAGATGGCTGTCGAACCCACGCACTATCAGCCCATCTATCTTTCTGCTTGCTACCTTCTGATCCTCCGCAAACATGGTGGACAGCAGTAAATTGACCTTGGTACCCTGTAGATCCAATGCCTCGCAAGTGCTGTCCAAAATGAATGTCGTATCTGACTGAGTATCCAAGAGCGCATAGACCAGCCTCTCTTTCTCCGGTTTATCACGATGTGAGACCCATACTGGGACGATCATCGAACTTTTACAGCAGTTGCTCGTTCCACTAAGATGACTAACACCTGTGTGGGAGCTGACAGATGTTTGCTGCTTCTCAGAATTCTGCTGAGGATGTTTTCCACCTTCTGTGGGTTTCTCCGTCTTTCTTATGTCTCCATGAAGAGCTGTCGGATGAGACTTTGCACAGGTTTTGCACGTGGCTCTCCGTTTGCAGTGCTTTGACATATGCCCTTGGCTAAGACATCCGAAACAAAGCCCCTTTTTCATCGCAAAAGTCTTGCGCTCTTCCAATGGCTGTTTCAGAAATTCCCAGCAATCGCCCAAGTTGTGATTCTTGCTACAGAGAAGGCAGGACCTTGGATTCTGGATCCCCCTTCCTGTGTTGCTGTTCTTTGTTGCCTCATTCGCACTGGTTGAGAAGGAACTCCCTCCTGGGGTTCTTTTCCTTTCACCTTTGTCGTTTTGTCTGTCTTGTCCCCTGAGTCCTTGTATCGAAGTCACAGGGTCGCATGCAATCTTGGCCTCCAGTTGCATGAACTTTACAAAGTCGCTGAATGGAGGATACTTCTTCTGTTTTTCTTTGAACTCCACAGCCTTTCTAGCCCATTTGTTGATCAACCAGTCAGGGAGCTTGACGAGTACTTTTCTGTTCTCTCTTTCGTCATCGAGTACCTGGAGGCTACCAATTGTCTCCATAGCCACCTGGCACTGACCGAGGAAGTCAGCAAGATTTCGCATCCCAGTTCCATCACGAGGAGAGATCTTGGGCCATGATTCCAGCTTGTTGCGGAAAGCGTTGGCAACAACAAAGGGATCTCCAAATCTCTTCTCAAGAAGCTCCTTTGCCTTGTCAAATGCATCGTCAGTTGAGAGGAAGAAGTAGCCCTCTATGGACTCCTTCACAGTTCCACCCAGGTACTTTTGTAGGTAGTGGAGTCTCTCTGAGCGTGGGATGCCCCTCTGTTCGATGAGTATTTCGAAGGCACGCTTCCATCTTGGATACTTAAGGGGGTCGCCAGTAAATACACCAGGCTCTGGCGTCGGTAGACGACTCAGGTTTATCTGCTCTGCAAACGTCTTTGTGAGATCTTGCAGCGTAGTCTGTGGACTGGGCGTTCTCAACTCGTTTTTGATCTGCTGCTGTGATGTACTAGAGTCTTGGTCTGGCTGTGGAATTTCCGGTGTTCCTACTGGTGAGACTGACTTTACT